CGTCATTATTGTCACTAATCCTACTGTCATATTTCTAACAACAGTCTCTAACATCTCATATTCATCATTCTGTCCAAAATCCAGCATAACTATCAATCACGGGAATTAATCCTAAATCCTAAACTAGTTATTAGGATTACACTTCTTATTCATCATTTAAATCATCTAGAATAATATTCACCGCGTTAGCTAATCAACGCTTTGAACGACATCTCAAACAGCATCCTACAACTCAAGTTACAGCAACTTAAAACTGATTCTGTCACTATTAGTCAGCATGGGTCGACGCAAAACCCTTGGGGTCGACGCGTAATGCTTCTCCTGCACAACATGAGTCGACACATCCTCCTCATGGATCGACTCATCCTGGTCCTAATCACCACATGTATCGATGCATGCTCCTCTTCGATCGACTCATACCGAGTCTTGTACTCATCATGCATCGATGCAAGCCCTCCATGGATCAACTCATCCTGAGTCTAATAGTGCCTATGTATCGACTCATGTTTCCATGAATCGATGCATCCTGTTACTTCCTGCATTCTTCCACGATTTGCTTCTGTATTTTCACTATGGGGATTCAATTACAGTCCTACAAACCTCATTATAAACATGGTAATTCATAACCTAATCATTAACCTATAATACTACATCGATTAAACGACATAACAACATCGTTATTCACCCAGAATTCATCAATATTCGCCATACATCATTCATAATACATCCAATTCAAGAACAAACATCAATCACCTCTAACCCCATATCAATCATCATAAACCCAATTATAAAGTCAGAACCCCACCCTTACCTTGGATTGAAGGTCGCTCTATAATTTCCGGGTTGAATCTTTGTTCTTGCCGTCTTCCACTTTTTCCAGCAGCTTCACGTTCTTCACAATCTTTATTTTTCCTTCTACTGTTCTTTCTTCTATTCCTTCTCACAAATAATAATATAACCCTATCATTATATTATTCTTATTTCTTGTTGGGCTTAAAGCCTACACCCCTCTTAATACATCTACTATCTCAAATTAAGCCCACCTTAAATAATATTACACTTCTAATATTATTTCACCATATAATAATATTATACCTCTAATATTATTATTTCTCCATTAATAAAATAAATCCAATTTAATTATAACACAACCTTACAAATATTCCAAAAATAATTTAATTAAATAATTAATTAAATTACGGACGTTACAAACCTGATAACACATGGTCGAAGCAAGCACATCAAAATGAGGTTCCATTATCTTCGAGAGCAGATAACAGATGGGAAGATGAACTTGGAAGATTGTAGAACTGAGAATCAAATTGCCGACATCATGACAAAGGATGTGCAGGTCAAAGTATTCAGAAGACTAAGAGATATGATGAATATAGGTAGCTTAGATATAATGAATTATATGGTGTGTTGAAAGTATAATTCTTTGTGTCGAAGCAGCCTGCTCGATAGAAAACAAAGAAGTGTCGAAAAGATTGTGTCAAAGTGTGGAAGCAGTTTGTTACACACAAATTGGATTTAGATCTAAAATAGATAGATTTGATTTGGGTCTAAAATAGATAGATTTGATTTAGATCCAAAATAGATATTTTGGGTTTTTCTAGTTTTGAGCTTTGACTTAGAGAGCAAGTTAACCTAAATCTATAAATAGTGGGAGTAATCCATATTTTTATAATCAAGTTGTATTCACAGAATTTGCAGTTACAAATGAATAAGAAAATTTTCCACATTTTGTGGGCAGAGAAAAACTCTGCAGAAAATCATTATCTTTTTCTTTTTCTTTTTTATATATTTTTTCATCGTTATTGTATGGTGATAAAAATCTTGTTTATCAAAATTGATAGAAATTTATCATAGATTTTAGTAGATTTCTAACTAATATGAAATATTTTGTTACTTTTCACCTTGTCCTTTTGAGTTGCTTGAGTAAGACAATAGCAAAAACGTACAGAAAAGCATAGCATATATTTACACAGTACTATTTAATTTGTCAGAACTTTTAGTATTTTCTTAAATTATGTGTATAACCAAAGCTCGTATTCAAAATTCATTAAATATAGGTAATTCATGGTAAATATATGCTATCTCAGATCATATTAACTTCAATTTTAATATGCATGTAAATAAATATAGATTTTTTTACGAATATGTGAAACCAATATTTTAAAAACCGGATCAAAAATCGAACCGATAAGAGTTTCGATTCATGATTCATTTGGTTTAATTGATTAAGTTTACAGTTAAATCGTTTATTAAATAAATTAATAATATAAAATTAAAACTTATGAATAAGTTACATAATTATAAATTCACAAATACATAAAATAAATATTTTAAAAATTCATTATAAATTTATACTATGAGATAAATGACATAATTACCTAATATAATTATATATTTGAGTAAACAAAACTATAATATAGTGTTATAACTTAGAAATATGTGTTATTATTTTGTGGTTAAAAAGAGTTTTTTTTGTGAAGGGAAAATTCTGTAAGTATTGATGTTAACATAATAATTTTTTTAATTTTAAAAAAAAAATTAAAATTGGCCAATGACATACATTTTTTTAAATCGAGTGGTTTTATAAAATTGTCTTTGGTTCTTTGGTTCGAACGGTTTTGAATGGTTCAACCCAATTTTTCTGGTTTTACTTCGATTTTGATCCACCTACGATTTTACAAGACTAACCGGATCGGAGTCACATTCAGTTCTTGGTACAAACGGTTCAGTCCGATTTTTAAAATATTGTGTGAAACAATAGTAGCTATACTACATATAAGGGTGATAAAGTGGGCAACTCGCCCCGTTTAAGCCCGTCCAAAAGTGGGGCGGGGCGGAATAATTTAGGCGTCCGAGTTTAAAAGTCAAATCCGTCTTGTTTACTAACGAATTGGCGGGCCGGTTCACCATTTTTTTATAATATAATTTATTACAATTTACAAAAACTTTAAATACTATCAAAGAGGCCGACAAAATATTTTTTTAACAACTCGTAATAGAACTTCAACCTACTTTAAGTCCAAACAGTTCAAAAATAAAATAAATAGAGACCAATTACAAAAAAAAAAACATAACTAAATAGAGTCAAGAACAATAAAAAAAAACTAAAATAAATAAATAAACAACACATATTATCCTAATTCTATTTAAAAACTAACTACTAAAAAGAACTCAATTAATAATTTGCACAAGACAAATAATAATAACAATTACAGTGCATAAAATATCACAGTGCATAAAATAGAAGGACATATAATATAGAAACCTGACTTTCTCCCTGTTTACATCATCTAAACTCTTATATTGACTTATTCCTTAATAATTATATTATAAATTTGTCACAAGTATACACTAATCAAATCTTTTCTTTTCAATAATTATTTCTAAAGAAAAAATATGAACTAATATATTGACAACTTAATAATTTTTCATGTCATACAATTGTTCTTTTATTTTAAGTTTTATCAACCAACATATATTAGAAAGATAGAAAGAATCTTACAATTATAATTCTATTTGAGTGTATAATAATTAGGCAATTCGATCAATATAATCTTAAGAGAAAAGTATTGTTTTGATAGTTAAAGTTGTTTTAGTTCTAAGTAAAAAATAAAAAGCCCAGAGACAAGATCCGTCTCGCCCAATATTTTTAAACGAGTTAGGCAGGACAAACCAACTTAAAATATCGAGTCGAATACCTCAGTCCAATCCGCCAAATATAGTGGGTCAAATGAGCCGGTCCGGACCAGACCCATTTTACTACCCCTAAAGATGACGATCATGGTTGCGCCTAGGGGTGGCAAAACGGGCCACCCGCCCCGCCCCACACTGCCACATCTTAAACCCGCCAAAAAAGAGCGGGGCGAGCAAGCCCGTCAAGTTAAAATAGACATAAAAATCTAGTTTGTCTCACCAAAGTGGCGGGTTAGCGGACGGCGGTCCTATCCGCCTACTTATTTATTTATTTATTTAATAAATTAATAATTCTTTTTTCATTTTTATTAGATTTATTATATATATTTTAGAACAATATTTTATAAAATATTTTATTAATAAATTTTATTCAAATATATTCACAAATTAATATATAAAATAAAACCATCGAAAACTGCAATTATTATAATTAACTAAAAAAAATAACAAATTTAAAATGAACGGAATTTGACGGATGTACAGTCCAGCTAATGGACCACGACCCATTTTACCACCTCTATTGCACCTCATCTTCGATTGCCAAAAACTTACACTTCCTATATAAGGAATTTCCACAGCCATGCTTCACTTATAGATCTTGTTTATATATCCAACCATATCCGCAACTCTGCACCTCGCAGTTCTTACCAACAGCTTCCATAATGAAATGATCAAGATGCTCGAAATTCAACATTTCAGAGAATAAATGCCGGCTGAAAAAGATTAGCCACATGTGATCTGATTTGGTTGCAATAAGATCTCTTTGTAAATTTACTGGAACATGGGTAAGCGCCTCATCCCAACCAAATTCAGTACTTTTGTTGATAATACTTATAGATCTATTTCATATCTCTTTGCATATCTTGTCGCACTTGGATCAATAGATGCAATGGAAAATACCACACACTTTCGTCATTGTCAAGGATAAAAGGAGATAGATCAATTGGGATTTAAAAGGGGCAGTTTATTTCTGATTTCTGTGTTCCTATGAAGAAGAAAAAAACTAAAAATGAATTTTTAGTACCTGATCTTTCCACAGTTGTTTGAGGCTGCTATACTTCAAGATCAATTCAACAAGTTGATTGGGCTGAAAACTTGATGGAAAATACTTATACGGATAGTTCTTCCACTTAACATATCTTAACTCGTTAGAAAGATGGCCGAGTGTTCCTGAAAAATTCACGTTCTTCTTGAGTATGAGCAATCTAAGATGACTCATTTTTGATAATGTTTCCGCCATGACCAATGTTTTCGTCCTTCTTTCCCCTGTATCTCTTAAAAAACATATGCCTTCAACATTCTTTTCCTAAAAAGTTGTAAGAAAGAAAGAAAAACTTGAATAACTTTCAATATATGTAGTATTTATGAAATATAATTGATTTTCTATTTTCAAACAACTACAAATTTCTCCAAACCTTCAAAACTTAATGAGCCCAATACTTTAACTGCCAGTGGTAGGCCATTTGCATAATGTAGTATTTTAAATGCCAACTGACTTAAGAGTGGAACTTTGTAAACAATATCCACTCCATACCCTACTCCCAGCAGCTAACCCATTGACGACTGTCAGATTTTATTGTTTAAAACAGTAGCAACCCATCCCACAAATTCCTACAATGCAAACATCATCAAGCAACCCATCCCACAAATTCCTACAATGCAAACGCAAACATCATCAAGCGAGTCGAGTACTATTTCCCATTTTTGTGAGAGACACACCATTTCTCCACCTAAAACCTTAAGGTGATAGGTGAGTGGGTTCTCCCACTTATATATGCTTAAGTCCCCACATTCCTATTCAATTTGGGACTATTTCCCCCACTTACTCAGACTTACTATATTATTTCAACAGCAAGCACCAAGTTGAAGAAGCATAGTTCTTTGAAAATATCACAACAAAAATCTTAGAGTCTTGGATTGCTCGAAAGAGCTCAGGTGCTATGGATTCACCTTTCTTCAGCTTAGTGTCATCCCTAAATGCAAGAATACCTTTTCTCTGAAAGGCAGCAAAAAGATGATCAGCCAAGTTGTAGCGCGTGTCTTTACCTCTAAAGCTCACAAATACGTCATAGTAATTTTTCTTTGGAGATTTCACCAGAGATGAAGAGCTGCTATTGCTGGTGCAGGCCATATGAATAATAAGGTAACTTGTTAGAGTATGATATATATGCTAATTGCTATTCAGTTTAAGGAGCCAAGGAAATGAGAGGAGTACAGATAGGACATAAGATCGTATGAAATGTAAAATTTATAATTAAATAAAGCAATCAGAATGAGTAATGACCTGTGATTAAACTTCAAGTGTGCTTCTTCCTAGCTTCTTAGTAATAGCATGTTAGTTGATTTTTTCTCATAAATAAACAGTCAAGGTTCCTTTTCAGTATAACCAATCCCACTTACCCAATTAATAACACCATTTTCACACACAAAATTCCCAAGTCAAAAAAATAGACTTTCTGAACATACTTTATAGTCAAACTTCAATTAATCAATACGCGTCGATAATTGATGTCTTGTTTTTTCTTTTGTGCTTGATTGGTAATTTACTGTAGGTTGGCACATATGTTCATCTGCATACACATAAACTAGGCTCAAGCCCAATCATGTTGGTTAAAGCTGCAGGAATCCTAGCATGTCTAGAGGAAATTTTTTTACCTCATACCCTTACAATTGTATTCGTATTTCAATATTTGGAATTTTTTGACGAAAATGCCCTTCATATAAATAGTAAGATTTTATAAATAAATCACTTTCTATTTTGACGCTAAAAAACGCTTCGAGAATAGAACACATTCCAGAACAATTTTACGTACTCTTCCGATTTACAAATTCGCACATCGGAACAGTTCAAGTAAGTCTTCCGATTTTGTTTAGTGCACCTGAACAGATGTGAAAACTCTTTAGGTTTGATTGTATTAGCTGGAAATCTTTTGAAAATTATTTCGGTTTTGATTGTGACACATCGGAACACTTTTCAAAAGTGTTCCGATTTTGATTGCGACGCACCGAAACACTCTCATAAACTCTTCCGATTTTATTCGCATTTTTTACACGCCAGAACACTTTTAGAATGTGTTCCGGTTTGTTTTTTTAATTCTTTTTAAATTTCTTTTCGGCTTCATATCTGTTATTTTTAGAATGCGAATATTAGACAGAGACGGTAGGCTTCTGTTGTATCCCAAAATTTGTCCTCTCAATTTTTCAAGATATATCTCACGAAGATTTTCAAAAGCCCAAGTTTGCATAAGTACAAAGCAGTTCGAAAGCAGTGACTGCAGACAATAGTTCGAATTCAAAATTTGGCAAATGGCCTCCTTCGATGCAAGCTTTATTCACCAGCTTTCGATTGGGCATCTGGCCTCCTTCAAACTTGCTTCAAATTCACAAGCTTCGATTGAGGCAATGGCCTCTTGCATGCTTGCTTCATACAAGCTTCGATTGATCAAATGGTTATATTCATGCTAGCTTTGACTGGGCATTGTTTCCCTTTGAAACAACTTCCTTCAGAAGACAAGGGCCTCCTGTTGGTGTCCTTCGATTCAAAAGTTAATGGCTTCCTACTGGCTTCTTTCGATTAAGAAGGAAATGAACTTCTGAAAGCTTCTTTCGATTCAGAAGGCAATGGCCTTCTGAAGGCTTCCTTTGATTCAAAGCAGGGACCTCCTGCATGAAAGCTTCGATTGTACCATTGGCCCCTTATATGTTTGCCTTTGATTCACAAAGCAGAGACCTCTTGCATGCAAGCTTCGATTGCACCATTGGCCTTATATATTTGCTTTGATTCACAAAGCAGTAGCCTCCTGCACACAAGCTTCGATTCACAAGGATTAGCAGTACTTCCTTCATGCCTGCAAGGCAAGTACTTCCTCCATGCCATCATGCACAAGACAAGTGCCTCCTCTGTGTTTGCTTTTGACTCACAAGGAGATGGCTTCCTCTGTGTTTGCCTTCAATGCACAAGGCAATGACTTCCCTTCATGCTAGCGCTCACAAAGCATTGGCTATTTTCACGCTAGCTTCGAATGGGCAATATTTCCCTTGAAAACAGTCTGTTTCAATCACACATAGTTTCTACACTATGACACACAATGGGTTTCCCATTCCAAAGACATATCTTGGTATCCCATTCGAAAGACATGTCTTGGTGGTCCATTCGAAGAATTGCAAGTGGTGCACACAACTGATGCATGTGGTCCCTTCGAAAGACACACATATGGTCCAATCGAAGGACACATATTTGGCCCCTTCAAAAGATACATTCGAAGGACACACTTTGGCTGGAAGCAAATATTTTTGTCTGAAGAGAGGTTCTGGTCGAAGGTTAGACCTATGAGGTCAAAACGAAAGGGTGAAATATTCAAAGATGTTTGCTGGCCAAAGTTCTATGTACTGCCAAGTCCAAGCCTGCTGCACTGGCCACAACACTCTAAAACAGCTGCAAAGCAGTCCTGCTACGTTTCTCTCATTTTTGCACCAAATTGGCATACAAAAACTGCACTTCAAAGACTACAAGAACAGTTTTCCCAATTTGTTCAAATTTCTTTTATTCCCCCCCTCCCCCCCCAAACCTCATCCAACTTCATCTATAAATAAGAGGTTCCATCACACATCTAAAGAGGGCTTTTGGTGGCTAGCGAGAGATTTTCTAACAAGGCAAAGAAAGGAGAAAATACTTCACACACTCTCAAACTCAGAACTAAAGAAACACAACACCTGTTTCTTTTCTCTTTCAAATCCGGAACCCAGGGAAACACCAACCCAACACTTGGTTATTTCTTTCGAATCCAGCACTAGAAACACCACACTTGTTTCTTTCCTTCGAATCCAAAACCCAGGGAAACACCAACCCAACACTTGGTTCCTTCCTTCGAATCCAGCACTAGAAACACAATACGTGTTTCTTCCCTTCGAATCCCAGAGTATTCGGTTTAATCACTCAAGGTCCAGAAGCACCAACTTCAGATCAAAGGTAAGTCACCCTGACCTTAACCCTTTCGTTTCAAGCATGTAAATAACCATTTCCTTTCGTTTCAAACATCATTATTATCCTTTAGTTTATTTTCGTTTCCACCTTCTTGCGCATTTTTTTGTTTTTGCCCCTTTTGGTTTGTTTTTCCTTCAAGCAAGAGACTAACATGTACAAACCCAAACGAAAGCGAAAAGTTTGCATGAATCGAAGCCTTAGGTTTCGCCCCTTACTGCTTCACAACTGCAAACAAAAAAAAGAAGGTGATATGAATCGGAGGTTACAGACTTCGACTCACACTGGTTGCAGACCCCAATCAAAAGAAGGCAAAGGAGGGAGAATCGAAAGGCACATCCTTCGATCCAGGATGCCTTTTATTTCTCTCTTTTTACACTATTTTTGTCTTTATATTTTCTATATATTTACACTTTCTTGCTATTCAATATGGTTGTAATAATTAGGACTTTTATTTTTTGCAACCCCCACTTGTACATTTGTATACCCCATCCCCCAAAAAACATGTAATAGCGTAGGATATTTATTTTCCGCATTTTTATCGCTTTCATAAATGTTAGTAATTAGGGTGTATGGCAAGATAAAACCAACAAGTAGACCACCCTAATCAACGATAAAATGTATACAATCAAACACACTATTCAGACATACATCTCTAGGGTAATCTCACTTGCTGCCTCGAAAAATAGTCATGTCCCTCGAATATGGGCGTTTTAGCAAAGACCCTCGATAAAAAGATCGTAGTCCCTCGATATCCCTCGATGTTGCCTTCGGTAAACGATATAGTCCCTAAACGAAAATTGCTAAAATGTCCCATAGATTGCCTTCTATGGCTATACAAATGACCCACGCCCGTCCCTTCACATCCAACGATGAGGCTTCTTATCAATCAATAGTAAGATAGCAACATCTAAAGGAGGAGGAAAAGAACAAATACCTTTTGAGTAGGTAGGATGCTCATATTTGCTTGCTTGCTCATAACCAAAAAACCATTTTCACACCAACACTTTCAATTGAAACATTTTCAAAAGTCAAAACACTTTGTACACATTCTTATAGAGACGAGAATTATTACAAAGGCACTTTTCAAAATCACTTTCAAAAACATATTCCACAACAAACATCTCTTTGAACTATTTTCAAAACCAACACTTTGTATGCATTCTTATAGAGACGAGAATCATTACAAAGACGTTTTTAAAATATTTTCAAACTCACACCACAAAGTATATTTTCAAACAAAGTAAGTGATCTAGCAAGCAACTAAGAGCCCGTAGATAACTACAGATGAAAAGGGTGCTAATACCTTCCCTTTTCATAACCTACCCCCCGAACTCAAGAAAACATCTCAAAGGTCTTTCCTGTTATTTTTACCCTTTCCTTATTGGATAAAGAAAAGTCTGTGGCGACTCTTGCCATCGCCAACAATTGTGATCAAATGCAAAACAACCAAGTCAGTTCTCCCACCGTATTACAAAATTGGCGACTCTGTTGGGGATCTTACTTAAAAGTGGAGTTACGTTAGGGCTAGATCATCTTTACTTGCTTTCCTTGTTTGACTTGCTTGCTTTACATTATGGTTCCTTGTTTGGGCTTTGTTTTTTATCCTACACCCGGATTTGGGGCACCTTTTAGGTAAGTAGAAATAGATTGTGGAAATTGTACGGCGTAGACCGATATGGTTGAAGCAATGGCTATGTTAGTGTGACGCATTTGTTGGTACCAGTATCCCTTATGTTGAATCGAGGAGAATACGTGGCCGCTGAGAGGTGTCATGAAACACTAACTGGCCTTAGAGCCTTAATTGAACAACTTGGCCATTAGGAAGTAATGAGATAGCCGACTTTGGTGTAAAGCTGAAGATTGGTTGATACTCGATGCTACACTCATTAAGATCGTACTTTTGGGATATCTCGGCCACAAGAAAAGATTGATTATGCTAAGACAATGCCTAAAAGAAAGGTCAGTGATATTGAGATCCTCTAGAACCCGGTTACTTTCTAGGACAGGTTGAGCCAACTAAACTTCAAGAGGGTACTTACCTACAAACCTCATTGCAAGCCTAAACCTAAGGACTTGTCTGCTTTGTGTGTATATGATTATTTGTACATAAAGACTTGTTTGCTTTGTTCACATGTATATAACATCAT